TTTCAATATCTGACTCTATGCAAAATTATCTAAGTATTTGCTATGTATAACAGTCGGCTCCCTTCCATTAAAAATTCTTTTTTAAGGAATTGTTTGATAGAAGAAAACACTTTCATAACAGAGGAAAGAATATATCCGATGTTAAAATAAAAATTTACAGAAAAATATATCATATATTTATTGTAGAACCCCCTCCCATTTATATTCTTATTATTTATTAAGAATTATTTTTTATAAGATTAAGGAATTTTCATTGGTAAAATTCGATCCACTACCTTACAGTTAGATCGATACTCCAACCACTAAACTACTAGAATTTTTTGATAATAATTTATAAATAAATTATATTTATATACAAATATATATAATAATTTATAAATAAATTATATTTATATATAAATATATATTTATATATTTATATATTTATATATTTATATATTTATATATTTATATATTTATATATTTATATATTTATATATTTATATATTTATATATTTATATATTTATATATTTATATATTTATATATTTATATATTTATATATTTATATATTTATATATTTATATATTTATATATTTATATATTTATATATTTATATATTTATATTTTTATATTTTTATATTTTTATATTTTTATATATAATTAAATATTTATTTTTTTAAATTATTTAATTTAATAAATTATTATATATATTTATATTTTTATATTTTTATATATAATTAAATATTTATTTTTTAAAATTATTTAATTTAATAAATTATTATAAAGTAATCTAATTATGAATAAATTAAATTATTAAATAAAAAATATTTTATTTTTTAATTAGGTGAATAATTAAATTATATTAAGTAATTATTATATAATTTTACGGACGGATATATCTATCGGTAACTAATTGTTAATTTACCGATCGAAAATATATGTCAGTAAATAATTGTTAATTTACAGATAAATTTACCGACGAATATATCCGTCGTTAATTAATTGTTAATTTATCGATAGATTTACCGACGAATTTATTAATAAATATATTCATCGATAATTAATTATTATTTTACCGACAGATATATCCGTTGGTAACATCAAATTCCACAAATATTTAATATCCGTCAGTAATTTCTGTTAGTAATGATTATTTTCCAACGACTACAAATCATCAGTAAAAATTCATCGGAAATACACTATTTTCTTGTTGATTAACGTAGTAATAAATTAAATATTTTAATTAAATATTTTTTTCTAAAAAATATTTATAAATATTCCTAGAGATATTTTTTAATAAAAGAAAATATAATAATTTATGACATGATAATTTTTAGATATTCGGAAATGATTTTTCTTTTTTTACCAAACGCATGTGTTAATAAACAAATTATAATTACATCTACATCCCTGTATTATTTTAAATTACATCCAATACCGCTCTTTTAGATTTTTCTATAAAAATTAATGTTATTAGAACATGTTTTAGTTTGACCAATATTACTCCCAATATGTGTAAGTTCATCATTTCCAACACTTTCAGCGTATTAAATAAAACCAGTGATTAAATATGTTACAGATAGGTGATTAAATATAATAATCTATCTGTCTAAACAAATTAAATGGTTTCACATATTAAGCATAACGATAAATGTTTTACCTTTTAAAACAATTTTGTTAAAATAATTTCACCTGTCAATAAATGTAATTAATCTCATGACAAATAGGAAAGAAAGAAAATATTAGTACCCCGTCTATTCTCACATATATGTAAATTTTAACTATTTATAATATAATAATTTTTTTAAAAATAGTATAAATTTAATTAATGTCTAACATTTAGTTTTATTATTTATTCTAATAGTTCTTTTCATGGTAAATTATTTTTAGAAGAAAAAATTAAAATTAAAATTACTTACTCCACTAAAACTAGTTTACACAAACTAAAATTACATTTTTCTAATAATATTAACAAAAATCCGTCTAAACATATCTAAATTTGTATATAACAAAATTATAATTTTTTTTCATCTACCAAATCCAAACTAAAAAGTTAATTTAAAGAATTAGTATGACTATATTAAACTAAAAAAATCAAATAGGTTTTAAACCATTTTTTAATTGAATTCTTAAATTTGTATTTATTTCTATTAATCTGGTCAAGAAAAAAAAATTGAAAAATTAATAAAATTTAAAATCTAATTAATACTGTACATTTTGGCAGCAAGTTGATTAATTTTGGTGGCTGTGGTTGACTCACGTATGATTCTGATATCACTGAAAAGGGTTGCTGATAGGAGACAACGATCACCAGATCGTGGTGCACATAGCATAGTATTGCAGAAAGATATCTAATACAATTTTTTAAAATAAAAGATACTTTATTTTATTTTATTTTAAAAATAAAAAATATTTATTCAATTTTATAAAATAAATTTAATGAATTTATATTCATATATTATTATATTTTTAAGATTTAATTAATTTTAAAAGAGATTTTTTATTATATTTTTTTCATTTTGAAAGATTTTTTAATAATTTTAATATTATTAAAATTGATTATAATATTATAAAAATTTAATAAAATTAATTTAATATTTATCTTTATAATATAATATTCCAATGAGTTTCTTTTTCTTACCCCCATTATGACATGTTGGTCCTTAAAAGGACAAGCTCATCCGGTATCCCTTAAAAAGAAGACCATATCTCATTGAATTTTGTGTTTTTTTTCCTGCATTTTATGAAAACTCAGGTGAATGATTGAAATATTTTTTTATTAATTTTTGTTTAAAATTTAAGACTTTCTTCTTCTTTTTCTCTACATTTTTATATTTTTTTTATCTTCACAGTTGCAATTTTATTTTATCGTAATTTCATTTTTATTAAAGATTATTTTTAATTCATTAGAAATTATTAATGTTTTGTAATTATTATATAAAAATTAGATAAAAAATAAGTATAAGAAAACCAAAAACACATTTTTTGAATAGTATCTTTATTCTTCGCTCTTTTCCTCTCCCAGTGTTGAATAGTATCTATCAAACTTTTCCTTTACTCTTCTCTCATGCATTTAATTACATGCATTACCTAATTCTACATAGATATTTCTTCTGAATGAACGTGTTTCTAAGAAAAACTTTGGAACATTTCTATTCAATATATGTTTCGGACCACAGCAGTGATCGGGTCATCTCAATTCATTCAGAGCTTATCCAAAAATGATTTTTAGGAAAAATATTAATTTATTTTTTCATATATTGAAATTAGTTTATGTGCAAATTAAACTTTAAAATATTATATTAAAAACTTTTCAATTTAAATGAAATCCACGTCAAATTATAAAATGAGATAAAATTTAATAATAGTGTTTATGTTTTGACCCAAATCTACACGGCTATTAATTAGAAAAAAATCAAATCCATACTTAAAGATACTACTTTAATTTTTCTATAAAATATATTTTGAGATATGTGAAACAAAATAAAACAATTTTTTTATACTATCTACCATGTCGTTTGCAAAACTTGGAGATTAAAAAAATGTTTTTTTTTAAATAAAGTTCAGAAAAATTGATACGTTCTTGGCAAATCTTACACAGTAATCCTCACATTTACAACAAAATTCGAAGTACTGTATACTATTGACTAGGCTAATTAAATGGCTCCACCAATAGCTTTTAAAATACCTATGAAATTTCATAAATGTTTGATGAAAAAATCATTTGGGCAAGTATTGAATATTTTATTGACGTCGTAGGCCATACCTCATGAACATAAACTTACGATGCTTTCTTTGCCTGTTATTTTTTATTGATTGGTGTCACCAGCCCAAAGATAACTGGTTTACAAGATAAATACTTTTGAAATCTTTTACCTGTAACAAGTTAACAACAGATCTGTTTCCCGAAAACTATATCTTTTGCATAACATTATAGCTGTCATGATAAGAACACTTGACTATTTATATGTTGTACAATTTCTTTCATTTAATGATGATCTCAAAACTAAATTATATACTTTCTTTTTACAATAAATTATATTATTTACTTATATATCACTTTCTAACATGTTTTTCTTTCTGTCTCTCCACTCCATCAATCACCTTATCCTTAATTTTCTTTCTTTCTTTGTAATACAAGACTTTACACAAAAATACTTTCTGCCTGATAGCTTATCTAAGCAAATTTAGTTAAGAGTTCATGCACGAAAACCATAACCCTCGAGAAACAAGTATTCCAAAAAGTTTCAGATCAACATGAAAAACCGTAAAGGTCTCTATAGTGGAATAGTTTTAGGTAAGCTCTTTCAAAAATATAAAATGGTGAGTTCTTTCAAACACATCAAATGGAGCTATACGTGCAATTATGGTTAGTCGTAACGATTTTTCTCAAAGAATTAAGGAACACTAGAAAGCGCTTGAAGAAAAATTCTGTAAACTTTATAACACAATGATAAAAGGTCTGCCCAAAAAATAAGGTAAATTAGGAGAAATCCAGACTTATTTATTATATTATATTATATTATATTATATATATATATATATATATATATATATATATATATATATATATATATATATATATATATATATATATATCTGTATATATCAATGTCAAATGAGTCTACTTTAGCCTTCATGGGGGAAGTCAATGCCCGAACCTAAAATCTACCTAGATGGTGAAGTAAGTCACTAGCTGTTACAGTGACTGAGAAGTTCTATAACATAGAGATAGGGTTCTCTAAGGTGCGTTAATTGACTTGTTTCCCTTTCTGAACACTTCAAAAGTTTGGACCACCTTCTTTGTTTGTCTGTCATCTTTCTCTATATGCTATATTCTGCATGTAGGACAAGAAAAATAAAAAATTATAGTGCCTGAAATAATTTACATGTAATTTTCATAGATTCATTACAAAAAGTAAAGCTTATGATAATAAAACTTGAAGTAAATGAACATGACCATGTAAATTTCTAGTATTGTAAGGTCATCAGTTTGCTTACTATTTGAGTGCTCGGCACTTAGGTTCCGCCACTGCAAACTGCAGCTTGGATCCGCTCAACTGTGCACTTGATTAAACTGCTAACAGTAGTCACTGAACTAGCAGAGAGTTTTGAGGTTGGAATAGAATCAACCAATATCTGAAATGCCACTGTCAGAAGGCAGCCTCCAGATCCAACCTCACGAATGTGCCCTCCATTGTTCATCAGTTCAGGCCCATCAGGAAGAACAGCAAAGCCCGAGGGCAGCAGGGCAACACAATCAGGATTTCCACCTCTCAACACAATATTTATTGAAGCTAAATCAATAGGAGCATATACTACAAATGAGCCTGTAGCATCAGTGCAACTCTCTTGAAGTATAATCATATTGCTTTGGCTGGAATTCGCAGTCTACAATTTGCATTCACCAAGCAGCAGGTTAGATATTTATAACTATAATGAGATTTATGAACTATGAAGAGTACCTCTTTAGCATGATAAACTAACAACTTACGTTGACTTGAAGCAAGGAGACACAGTTGCCAGTATCATGACCATTGGCAATGTGTGCCAGTTCTTGCACTGGACCTCCGTTAGAGAGAATGTCCCACTGCAAAATTCAACAAGATGTTTGCAAATTTGAAGAATATAATGAACTACCAATTAAGCTTCCAAAGGCCTAGCAAGAACTAACATTAATCGTTATAATAAGGATATATAACCCAATACTATATATTAGAGTATAGTTTTACAGTCCAAAATATATATAAAATGCAAAATTTATCAAAGTCAAAATTGCTTGAGTTCTCACCCTCGAAACTAATTAATTTAATAATCTCCTCTATTTCTCAGAAATTTTATCAAAAATAGCTAAATATTGTATTATAAATAGACATATGTAATGTAATTTGTAAACAATGATATTTTGTACATTACCTGATTTCTTGAGTATTCAGATCGCAGAAAATCAAAAACAGTCCTTGAAGGAAATGGGAGCCACAAAGAAGTTGCAGCGCTCAGCACAGTACCGGAAGGTCTGCCTGGATCATCCACACTTTTTCTGGTCATGACCCTCACATCTTTACTGCCAACTGTTAACGGTGTCCAAGCATTTGCAGTAGAAGCACCAACACCAGTACAAAAGCTCAACATCATTCTCTCAGCCAGCTTCATCGTACTTATTCTTCCTTCAAGATTGGTAAACACTGTACACATAAATATAACAAATATTCAGGGTCACACTAATTGAGTCACCTATTTTTGCAATTGAGTGTGACTAAGGATTTATAACCTTTTTATACAATCTTAAAAAATGAATGGATCAAAAATAGAGAAAAAATGAAGAAAGATCATAAGATGTCATATATGTATACCACCAATGCTCCCTTGGGGTATGTTGGTGGCTATTGCACTGGCAAGACGTTCGCATTGTCTATCTAAGGATGCCACCCAGCGTTTAGCTCCAAAGGCAAGGCCAGAATTAACATAGTTTTTGTAAAGATCATGCACTTCATTATCGTCCAGTTCTACATGTTCAATCCAAACAATCTGAAGAAAGAAAGTGATAATTAATAGTTGGTTGCAACATAGTTTTGATGGGAAAGTAATCTAATTAACCACTGTAGAAGTTAATAATTGGAATATGACCTTTGAGTAACCATTTGGCAATGCTGTGATTACGCAACCAGATGGTCGTCTTCGGGTTTTTGTGAATGAACTGGGTCGCAGCTGATCCACGGAAAAATCAACAATCACCCATGATTCTCTGGAGTTCCTCTTACAGAACCTCACGAAACAGTCGTCACGGATAGGAACAAGCGGTGATGGGACTTGGAACTCAGCTGACATCTGAAACAACAACAAATGAAATTCTAATTGTTAGGAGTTGGGCATGAAATTAATTTAACCAGTTTAATCAATTCTCGAGAGGTGACAAAGTGGACAAAGTAGAAGGAATTAAGACAAACTAATAGATTAAACTTTGCGTACCACTTGACAGGCTCCATCCAAGATTTCTTTTCCACCAATTTCCAGAACTTGATGTAACACTGCCCTTGAAATGATGCCGCAAAACATGTTTGCCCATTGATCCTGAAAATCGTTATCAACGGTCCCAATGTCAGTCAAGCAGGTTAATATGATTCTGAAAATTGTTCAAATCTAACATTTTTATTTCGACAATAATTATGTATTAAAATTAATGTCTAACAATAATGTCTTACACCTTCAATAAAAAAGAAAACGAACTAAGTCGAAACATAATAAATAAGGTGATGAATACAAGATTAAAACAGCAGAGATGTAAAGTAAATACTTAAAAGGAACCGAGTTTGGAAAATAAAATCAGGAGCTATAGATATTTTCACTGGTGTTCCGGCAACACTTAGTTGGAAAGAGTATTATAAGACTCACCACATCCATAAAGATCTCAACGAGTTTATTGCAATCCATGATGACTACTGCAGAATGCCTTGAAGCTTCAACTTTTACGCCCAAGGGTGTTGGACCTATTCCCTTAGGGAATAACACCAGATATTCATCTTGATTCAGAATCTCATAGCCATTTGCAGGGACCCACAAAGGATTTCCATTCACAGCCATCGCTGTGAGTTCCTGCATTGCTACGCCACCAATCTCCATAACGATGTCTTTGTCAAAATCATTAGTAATTAGGAGTGTCCTAAGAGGTTCATTGCCACCAAACATTTCCCCTACCATCGCTGTCTGTGCTCCGTAGTTTCCAACTCCCTGATCAAACGAGAGAGGAGACATCAGCTGGTTTTGAGATGGCATGTTATGGTAGGAACTCGCAGGTTTTCCACCACATTTGGCTATTATTGCTGACATCTTTTGAATCTGAAATACAAAAGTACGAAAAAAAAATGAAAAAGAGAGCACGAAAGTTTGAACGGTGAAAGTGTGTAGCATTTATAATGATCAAAGCGATTTACCTCTTCTCTTAATCGCGTATTCTCGATATTCAACTGTTGTTCGTCAAAGGACATTTCTCCAAGAGCAGTAGGGTTTCCACAACTAGGGCATGAAGCATTGGCTAGTGCCTCCTTGTAACTAGTGTTGTTTGCGCGAAGCTTGTCATTCTCAGCCCTTAAAATACTGTTCTCATGGCGTTCATGTTGAGACTGTATACATGACCAGAGAATATCATTAGATAATGGCGTAACATGCATATATTTAAGACAAGCGAAGTATACTTCAATATTTTGTCTTTTTTTTTTTCAGTGAAAAAAAATGGTAGTGAGAATAATTAATAGAGGTTAGAGTGCTGGTGACAAAGAAGATAGATATTAAAAAAAAAAAAAAAAAACAGGTAAAGAGAGAAAGTAAGTCATATATTAAGTAATAATGTGACAAAAATAAAGGAAAACGTAGATGAAATATATTCAAATCATTTCATCAAAGCATAGAGATAGAACTCATTATTATTTTTGTATTTAATAATCTAATAACATATCTTAATTATTAAATTATTAAAAAATAAATAATAAAGATAAAATAGGAATTTTTATTTATATAAATTAGAAATATATGTTAATTTTTTTCTACTCTTCCTTTCTAATCTGAATATGAGTAAGTCATTAAATTCAACAAAAATATTTGTTTGAGAAACCTAAATTAATTTATTTTTATTATCTATTCAAGCAATCACCATCCTAAATTAAAATGACCTTGAACAAATATTGAATGACTCGGAGTCCAATGCTTGTTTTATTTCTTAAAGATAAAATCTGAGTTGTCTAAATCTTTGAAGCATCAGTTCTGATTTCTTGACTGGATGGATGCTTAAAAATTTTGACAATAGAAATCTAGATCCTTCTCATTTGGGTTTTGCTTATTAAAAATAAATACACTATTAAAAATAATAATTTTTTATATTTTTTTTTAATTGAAAAGTGCGAAACGTGGGTATATGTGAGAGATATTAAAAGAAAAAAAAAACAATTACTTTAAAAAATATATTATTTGGTTAAAGTTTTGATTTTTAATTGAATAACGTTTAATCTCTATCCCTTAAAGTGGTAGTAAAAGAAAAAGAAATAAGAAAAAACAATACTTTGTAAAAGAAAATAAACTTTTAAGAAAAAGTGAAAGAGAAAATATTAATAATAATTCTTTTTAATTAGAAAATAGGGGAAGAGACATGTAAAGGTGAATTATCCTTAGAATAAAAACGTAAAGTGTTATATACGAGGAACTTTATGGAGGCTTTCTCCTTTACCTTCACCTGGGTACGCTTGTTTTGGAACCAGAACTTGACTTGCATGGGATCCAACCCGAGTTCGCGACTCAGCTCTTTCCTTTGTTTGTCATCTGGATGTGGGCACTCTTTAAAGAATCTGACAATACCACAGTTCAAAAACATTACCGAGTAACATTTAATTATAAGCAAGCAAGCATTAAATATTTTTCTTTCTCAATTTATTGATTAGATTAAAAAAAAAAAAAAGGTGAATTGGAACGTGGACCCTTACGACTCCATCTCCATGATTTGATCATGTGAATGGCGATGGTAGCGCTTCTTTCTGGATCGTTTGTCAGAATCTTGCTTCTCACATGAATAAGGAGCTTCCATTGTCTCATTACCGGCAGCTTCATCATCTTTGTTCCTTCCCAAATCACTCTCCGAGGATGTCCTGTGTGGTGGATTTTCCTGAACGTAATGTTGTTGTTGTTGCTGTTGAGAATCCAACGCGTTTGTGTTGCTGTGATACATTGCTTCCAATCCTTATGCTTCCAAAGCCACGCGCTCTTATTCTAGAATCTGCATGCCAAGACAGAAAGTAAAAACTCTCAACCTCAACAAGCCAATAGGTGTGACACAATTATGCAGAAGGGTAGGTACAAAAAAAAAAATTGGGCTTTAGCAATAAAACACACACCATGCACCCTTGCTCTCGCACGCAAAAGAGATAATGGGGATGACCAAAAATAGTTAAATAAATAAAAAGAGTGGTTTGGCAAAAGCCTTTCTCACAAAAAACCAAGGTGTTTTTTTTTTTTTTTTTTTTTTTTTTTTTGCAAAATTGAGGTTCAAAACGCCTTGGTAACAAGCCACTGACTGGAGTAGCAACAGACATTGGATGGGAATTCTCTAAGCGAGAATTCGGATGTGTAGGAAAAGAAAAAGATGTCCATATGAGTAGTGCTGTACAAGAAGGAAGAAATTAAAGGGCTTTTCCACAAATCTTTTAAAAGGGTATGAGAATGTTTGTTGAATATTCGTACAGTAATGTACTTGAAGTGTTTTATGAAGAGAAAGAAAGCAAGAAATTAGACAGAGGTAGAGCTCACCTGTGTTTGATCAAACTTGGGTGATGGGTGGGGAATATTTTTCCAACCACTACCACTTTTCACAACTACACTGATCAAAGCCTCTCTCACTCTCTCTCTGTAATGAAGTTTTGTGCTCTCTTCTTCCCTTTTATAACCCTTGGCGTTTAGATGTGGTTTTAATTTGGCCCTGAAATTCTGCTAAAACTGTGGATGGTGAAGAGGAGGGAGAGAGAGAAAAGTTGGTTTTAAAATTGTCTGTATCTGCCCAAAACCATCAACGGAGTTAATAAGGTTCTTTAAGTGCACAAAGTGGGAATTGATGAGTTTTCCTTGTGCCAAACTGTAATGCGCTCTCTTACATGCAGAGAAAATGCATTATTTTCTTGACAGATGTAAATGAGAATTTTAGAAAGGACAAATAGAAAAAGGGTTGACAAAATGTGAAAGGTTGACAATGGTTACAAGAAAAGGAGAAAATAAAGGGAATGAAACGTAAACTGATATAACTGAGATCACGTGTTTGCATTCATCTCTCACATTCTTTCACTCTCTCACTCCATAAGTCCAAAATAACTGAAACACCGCTTAAGTCTAGCAAAAAGTTGAGATAATAACATACGTTACAAAACAAAAAGTATAAAAAGAAATAGAAGGAACTAGCTAGCCAAGAACCGTTTGTTTGGGTCACCCGAAGAAACTTGTGGGTGGGGTTAAGAAACAGAAGGAGTTGTGTTGCGTTGGCACAGTGGTGACCAAGACCAGAACCACGTTTGAGGGTAGGGTTTCAGCGGAGTAACCAAGAAGTGGGGCAAAAAGAAACAAAAAATGAAATTATTAACTAAAAAAAAAAAAAAAGTGTGGGGTGGTGAATGGTGACTATGAAGGAGAAGAGAAAAAAGAGGGCTTGAAGTTATTGCTAAACGTCTTGAGCGGGTGTAACTCCATTAATGAGAGTGACGAATGACATAAATGCTATATGTAGAGAGAGACTATGAGTTTATTTGTTTGTATAATGGGAAACTAAATCTTTGTTTTTTTCATGCATGTTTTAACAAGCTTTTCTGTGAATAATTAAAATTAAAATAAGCTTGTTTATAAACTCTTTAAGGTAGTTAGCTTACAATTTTTTTATTACGATTAAATAAATATATATATATATATAAAATATTTTAAAATATTTTTTAATTTTAATTAGTTTATGTGCTTGAAATTAATATTAAATTAATACGTTAATTCATTAAAAAAATCACAAATCATATTCGAATCACTCTATAAATAATATATTTTAAAAAAATTATTTAAATAGAATCTTTATCTATTTATTAGATTGGTTTTCTGTTCATGTGTATTTTTTTCTTTTTAAAATTTATTTCTTCTCTTTTATCTTTCACTCCTTATTTTTATGTTTATTTTTTTATTTCACTTCCTTCTTTTTCTATCTCATCTTCTTTTTATTTTTCTTAATTAAACTATTATATTAAAATTTAATAAAAAGATATTAAAATAAATATTTTTAAATCAACATTAAAATTAAATAAATATCAACTAATTATTTAAAATTATGATAATAATAAATGATTTTATATATAATGATAATAAGTAATTTATTTATACAAATAATTAATTTAAAATTTTTTTATAATAAATAATTATTTTTAATTAAAAATATCAAATATTTATGAGTTAAATATATTTTTTACTTAATAATTTAATCTAATTATAATAATTTCAGTGATGATAATTGAATAATTGGATAATTTTAAAAAATATTTATTAAAAAATTACTTAAAAATAAATATTTAATTTTCTTAATAATTATCATAATAATAATAATAATACTTATAATATTTTAAATTTATCATATAATATTTTTTAAATATAATTAAATTAGAATTTATAGATCATTTAAATATATTTTTTTAAATAATAAAATATTTATTTTATAAAATTTTAATTTAATATTTTTAATTAAAAAATAAGATGAAATGAGAAAAGAGTAAAAAATATAAAGAAAAGGAAAAAACAAATATTTAATTAAAGACAAAAAAAATATACTAAGAACAAGAAAATAAAAAGATTAAAAAAAGATTAAAAAAATAATTATTATATTATATAAGACAAATTTATTATTTTTACGAATTTATTATTTTTTATTAAAGTTTATATATTAATAATAAATACGTCTAATGGAATAAATAAATTTAAAAAAATATTTAAATTTCTTTATAAATATATTATTTATAATATTAATTTAATAATATTCATTAAATATCCAATTACAATAATAACAATAGGGGGTTGAATTACGGGTCGGTGCGTCATTCCAATTTACTGATGGCTTCACATTAGTCATGTATGACTTATAATATGAACTAAGCCAATTTTTTGTTTCAGCTGATATAAATATTTAAATATAACATACTACACGTAAAATTTATACGATTAGCACACTTTTTGATAAAAACTCATCTAAACCAAATTTTGACATATATTTTTAATAAATTTTTTAAAATAATATTAAATATATATATATATATATATATTAAATTTTTATTTATATAATTATATCAAATTAATATAAATATTTTTTTTACATATCATAAAAATATATTTATATAAATATATTATAAATATATTTTTATAAATATAGTAAATACAAATATATTTAATATATATATATATATATAATATTTAAATATTTATTTATCTTTTTATAAATATAATAAATACATGTATATTTATATATTTAATAAATATATATTTATATCTTTTTATATACATAATAACATAAATAAATTATATATATATATATATATATATATATATATATATTAAGTATAAATAATATTTCTTTTATAAAAATATATAAATATTTTTATTATATTTTAATATGTTTGTATATATTTATAAATCCTAACCTCTAAACATATGTATACATTTAACAAATACATATTTATATTTTCTTATATATATATATATATATATATATGATAATATATTTTTTATATAATATTTAAATATTTATTTAATAAAAAGATGTTTAGTAAATAAATATAATATTTATACAAAAAATAATTTTATTTAATTTCGATACAATATAAAATAGATTTGATATAAATATTTTGTTAGAATTCTGTATAAATAGAAATTTTAATTAGATAATTTAAGTAAGATATACAATTTGAATTAAAGTGAATTGATATTTTAGATATTAAATTAATGAAACATAAATAAACAACAAAACATAAATAAGCAACAAAACATGAATAAGCAAGTTAGAAAACTACTACTTATTTATTTAATGATTATAATGTCATATTACAAAACTATAATAGATTTATCTATGAGAAGTTGATTTCCTAATGTCAGGGTTATATGGACAATGATTTATTGTGTGACCTGGAATGTGACAATAAGAGCATTTCTTTAGGTGACCTTCTTCGCAGATATTCATTTCAGTCCTAATTCGTGTTGGCCTTGGATGACAAAACTTCTTCTTATTACTGGGTTGGGGCAAAGTTGTGGGCCTTAATGTGATGACCAATAATCTTCCTATCTAAGCTCCCCAAACAAATTGTCATACACTTTGTTGACTACATCCAACCTATAAACAGGATTGATGTACATCTTATAATTATGATGAACATATTTGCACGTTGCAACCACATGGGAACATGGTAGATGAAGTTTTTGGAACTTCCCACAATCACATCAAGTTTCATCTAGTCTAACAACAAAATTACCAGCAGGTCGAACTTCTCTTGGGTTGACAATCTCCTCCACCAAAAACCTTGTGTTGCTTCTATCGAATTCAAGCACCCTATGAGTGTTTGATTTTGTATAAACATCTTATAAGACTTTTGATGTAATTTCTGAATGGACATGACCAGCATTAATCATTACTGTGATTTGCCTCCCTCTTTCTGTGAAAAATTTGTTGCATTTTGTGTATGTGGACATGACCATAGAGGAGATTGGTAAATTCCTTATTTTCTTTATGACTGAATTGATGGATTCAGCTAAGTTGGTTGTTAGGTGCAGTGGCGGATCTTGAACATTGATCTTGGAGGGGCCAAATAATATATTATTAATATATAATAAAAAGAAAAAAGAATATGAAAGGTTGAAAAAATAAAATTGTAGATATATACTTAAATATATTAAATGATAATTAAGTTTGAGGGAAACAAAATCATAAATTATATGAGAGTTACAAAATTGAGGAGGGGCTGAGAAGATAAAATTGTAAATATACAAGTAAATATATTAAATGCTCAATATGTTTGGAGGGGGGCCAAAATCATAAATTACATGGGAGTTATAAAACTTTGGGGGGGCCACGGCCCCCCTCAGCTCCCAAGAAGATCCGCCACTGGTTAGGTGACCTCATCTTCTACCATCATCATATGCAAGTGCTCATTTATTTCTTGGAATTTCATCAATCCAGGTTGCTGCTTCGGGATTGTCTTGTCTTATGATGTTGTAGTAGTAGTTTGTTCTTGGCTCAGTCATTGTGTATGTTGCATATTGAAGTACTAAAAGTTAATATAGAATAAACAAGATGACATATTAAAACAATTTAGATAGAATAAAAGTTGTTACCCATATTAACAAGGTCTTTTTTTAGTGTTGCATTTTTTAATCTTCTCATAAAATTTTGTGCAATATGTCGAATGCAGTACACATGCATACAGTTACCATTATCCACGCTCAGGTCTTGTGTATGCTGCATGAATTGAGTTATGACAATCTGAAATTAAGCACAAGTTGTCCTGAGGTGTGAAATACCTCCTTAGGTTTTTTT